CACGCTAAAGTTTACCTCGTGGACGACACGCTTGTACTCAGTGGAGCAAATCTGAGTAACGATTATTTCACTAATAGACAGGATCGATACGTGCAGCTAACGAGCTGCGGGGCACTGGCACAGTTCTACCATCAGTTCGTAGAATTAGTTACGGGATTCTCTTACAAAGTCAAGCTGGACTCGTTGACATCAGACAAGAACGACTACGAATTGTTGGCACCGGTATTGGCACATGACTCGGAGAAGGCGAAGACGGCAATGAGACGCGATCTCGAGAAGCTGGTGGATTCCAGCAAGTATCAGCAAGATAAAGACGATGAACTTACAGATGCGTGGGTTTTTCCGACGCTACAGTTTACTCCGATCTCAATGGACCACGATGAGCGCGTACTGAGTGAGTTTGTGAGGCATTTACCGCGTGGTTCTCAGCTGCAGATTGCATCGGGCTACCTGAACTTCCCGCCGTTTTTGAGTGAGCTACTGGAACGCTGTGAAGCTGGCTTGGACGTGATTTCTGCTGCACCTCGTGCCAATGGCTTCTACGATGCTCGTGGTGTGAAAGGGGCGTTGCCTATGGCCTACTCGCTGATCGAGCAAGACTTCTTCGAGCGCACTCTCGGTCGCGAGTTCCCAACTGTACTTCGGGAATTTAACCGCCTAGGCTGGACTTTTCACGGCAAGGGTATGTGGTGGAGGCCACCTCCGCCGGCAGTGACCAACGGCCACCAGTCTGCGGTGGGTCTTCCCCAACTCACGGTTGTGGGAAGCTCCAACTTCGGACAGCGGTCTTACGGCTGCGACCTCGAGTCAAATCTGGTATTATTCACACGTAACGCGGATCTCCAGCAACGACTACAAGACGAGTACGATGCTTTAACTCGCGACGCTGAAGTCGTGACGGAGCAACTTTGGCGACGACCCGAGCGCATGCTGCATGGACTTTTCAGCTGGAAGGATGGCCATTGGATCCGACCCGTGTCCAAGTTTATCGCCGCGTATCTCTAGGCGCCAGTGAAGGAGACAGATTCAATTTTGCGTTAGAATAGACTACATTTTTGAATTTGATGTCGTACATTTTTGCACTTATATCGAGTATGTTTCTATAGTAAATGGCCCACAGTTAGCTGTAAAAACACGCCAGATAACAACGGGAGTGTTAGATTGTCGTCCCATCCGCCAATGTCCAGCAATTCTGCAGCCGCAGCACTTATTCCAGCCGCCAACGAGATAGTACCGGCGGCGACTGCAATGCCACCGTCTACGTCGAAATAAAAGTCTTGTTCCATTCTCAACGCCATGAATGTAGCAGCAACGGTGACGCAGAAGCATCCAATTGACCCTTCCAGCGACTTGTTGCCACCCAGCTTCCCCACCAAAGTCACCAGTTTGTGTCGACCGTACAGCGTTCCAAAGAAGGCAGCAGCAGGGTCCCCCACTGACAACTACAGTAATGAAACACACCAAATCCATTAGAACTCACTAGTAACATTCTCTTTAACCGTTACGTGCGTCATCATACATGAAGAATAGCGAGTCGAGCGACTCGAGGAGGAAATAACGTGAGTGAGAAGCCCGATCCTAGTAAAAAGTAGAACGCTCCCGGTAGTGCTGCTCTTGACACTTCGTGTTGGCGTAAAATACTGCTAAAACACTTGATGTAGGCTGCATTAACCGTCTCGTATCGACCCCTCAACTCGTTTAATCCATAGAACAACCCAGCGAAGAACAGCAGCACCGTGGCTCCCGTCAATGGCACAAATAACCTCGAGGCAGCGTAGATCATTGCGCCCGTGCCCAGGTGCTGCATTTTACGCTGCAAATGCAGATCCCCGCGTCGCGCCACGCCATTATGAGCTGCATCCAGAGGTCGAGCCGATACGAGGTACTGGAACAGCAGAATCGCTGCCACACACGCTGCACAGGCTCCTAACGACACTCCTCCGTCGTCCGAAGACATCGATGACCGTTGCATTTTCCGTTATAAACGGATTCGAGAGGGTTTTTATGCTGACGTACTTACGCCGACCTGATGGAATCAAGGATCGAGGTGTTGTCAACTCTTTCCAGCGCAATATCCAGCCACAAAGCACGGTGAACCTAGCTGTATATCTTTTCTATAGTGTCGACGAGTAGCAACACTTGGACTGCGATGGAAGGACATGACTGTTTTCTCTTCTTTTATGAAGAGAATCCAATTTTCCTAAGGTCTTATTCGTCTGCGACGTGTGAGAATCAAATGTAGCTATTCCCGTCGCACGGATGTCCAGTGGAAGTTTCGTGGCCTTGAAGGTGTCACGCCCGAATTGGCATTCCCTGCAAGAGACTGGTGGGTGTGCTCAACGTTTGTGCGAGATCAGACGGTCGAGTCTCCACTATCCATCTCCTGAGTTGCAGGCATGAGTTGCCAAGTGACGAAGTTCAGCAACAGTCCCGAGAAACTCGCAGTCATGATCTACCCAGCGTTCACTTCAGAAATTGACATGGGCAACGATAACAAGACGGAGTTGATTGAGAACTGTAATCCGGAGCTAGTGACACTTGCAGCCGATGACTTTGAGATCATCCGCGTGCTCGGCGTCGGTACCTACGGCGTGGTGAAGCTAGCCAAACACAAACCCACAGGCATCAGTGTGGCACTCAAGGTGCTGTCCAAGGAGTACGTGGTTACAACACGACAGGAGAAGCACATCTTGCGAGAACGTGCGGTACACTTACAGCTACAACATCCGCTAGTAGCGAAGCTGTACGGCACTTTCCAGGACGATGACTGTCTGTACTTGGTGCTCGAGTATCTGCCAGGAGGAGAACTATGGAGTCTCGTGTATTCTCTTAACGAAGAGCAAGACGAGGACGAAGACGCTGTTAAAGCACCGCAATTAAAGATGGAAACGCCTTTAAAGGAGGACAGTGAACTCCGGCCCGCTACGCCGGTCAATGTACCAAAGTTAATCTCGTTGGAGTCTATGGAGCCTATTCGATCACGAACACTTGAGGCTGGAGATCTTACTATTCTACGCAGCGAGTTTGGAGGATTAAAGGAAGAGTATGCAGTGTTTTATCTCGGATGCATCTTGAGTGCACTCGAGTACTTGCACGGCCAGAGTTTGCTGTATCGTGACCTGAAATTAGAGAACTTGGTGCTGGATGAAGAAGGTTATCTCAAGATTCTCGACTTTGGCTTCGCTAAGCAGGACGCACAGCGAGCGGAAGATACAGATGATAGTAGTGAACAGACTCAGAACGCACGGAACCTCACTCTATGCGGAAGTATGGACTACATGGCGCCAGAGGTGCTTCTGCGTCAGGCTCATGACCAACGTGTGGATATTTGGTCGTTCGGTATCATAATGTACGAACTACTACTGGGGAAGACGCCATTCTACCATGAAAACCCACGCGAACTCGGTCGTAGAATCACCCACGATAATGTGGAGTTCCCGAACGAGTTTGAAGAGGAATGCCCATTAGCCTGCGACCTCATCAACCAGCTCCTAGTTAAAAACCCAGATGAACGATTGTCTTCTATGGACAAGATCAAGCAGCACAGATTTTTCTCTCGGATGTTCACATGTCCTGAGGACTGGCAGCGTTTGCTCCGCCGAGAATTCGAGACACCATTCGTTCCCAAGCTCAATGGACCCTTCGATACGTCCTTCTTCCAGACTATCGACGATGAGTATCAGGAGGAGCTGGAAGCTGGTGTGGAGCCATATTTCGAGGACGGCTCCAACATATTCAGTGATTTCTAAGTCTCCTGGTATTTCTCTGTCTTCATGTATTAATACGGCACCAAACAACTAATTTATTTACACACATCCCGCTAGCGATAGATTAAATCATTATGCAGAATAGAGCAATAAGAAATAATACAAGCATCACATCCAAAATCGTTTTAGCTTTTGTAATGAATTCCAGCTCTAGTTGTCGAGGTTTCGGTGGTTCTGCTGGATCACAATAAATACGCTTGACTCTACGCTACTACTCGCGTTCTTGCGAGTCCATAAATGTCTGCAATGTTTGCAGTTTGGGGCTTCTAGTATCCGAAATCCGAGTCGGCATCACTACCGAAGTCTTTCTCTTCTTCTTGGACACGTACGAAGAAACTAGTGTCAAAAGGACCGTCTAGTCTAGGGATAAACGGAGGCTCCGCTTGTCGTGCTTCGAGTTGCTGCCAACCTTGTTTCGACGGGAAATACGTACGGAAGAACGTCGTCTTCTTCACCTCTGAGAACGACGCAAGTCGCAGTACTGGGTCCTTCTCTAATAGTTTCTTGATAAGAGAACATACCGCCGGATGTCCTTGTTCATAGTCTTCCGGGAACTGCACTGGCTCGGAGATGATACGACGGCCCTGCTCTCGGTGGTTGGCATGGTAGAACGGTGTAGTTCCGAACAGCATTTCGTACAGAAGAATACCAAAGGACCACAAATCTACTCGCTGGTCGTACGGTTTGTGTTGCAGAATCTCAGGGGCCATATACTCGGCACTTCCACACATCGTCGAGTTCCGCTCTGTCGTTTGGGTGGCGTCTGGCTTGGATAATCCAAAGTCGATGAGTCTCGGGTATCCATCTGCATCCAACACGAGGTTTTCGAGCTTCAGGTCGCGATACAAGACTCCTCTTCTGTGCAGAAACTCGAGCGCTGTTACCAAACACGCTGCGTAAAAGGCTGCATAGCGTTCATGCAGTCCACCGTGCGAACTACGTAGCTTCTGCTTGAACAAAAAGTTCTCTAGTGTTAAGCTATTGCGGCCCATTGCGATGCTCGCTCCACGTTGCTGTCTCTGCTCTTCATCCGACTCGGACTCGGTGGTCACGGAGTCGGAAGTTTCGGGCTCTTCTACTTGTCTACTTGATCTCCTGTTCTCTTCCTCGTCCGAGTCGTCACAGTCTTCATTCTCCTCTAAATGTCCGTCATCGTGGGTGTACACCAAGCTGTAGATCTCTCCTCCGGGACAGAATTCCAGTACAAAATACAGCGCATCATTGTCTTGGAAAGTGGCATAGAGTCTGGCAATAAACGGATGCACTAGACCCAAATGAACGCTCTGCTCCCTCATAATGTTCTTCTCCTGATGCATTTCGTGCACCAAGCGTCTCGTAACAACCTTAATGGCTACAGTCGCGCCAGTGTCCAAGTGCCTCGCCAAGTGTACGGAGCCGAAGCTTCCTCTGCCCAGAACGTCCAGTAGCTCGAACTCGTCGATACCTGTAGCCTGTTCCAGCTCCGAGACGAAGCTGAACCTCGCAACGGATGATTTTCGGTGGGCTTTAACGCTCACAGCGGCGAGATAACTAGTGGCACTACTGAAGCGCTTGGCCGCGTCCTGCGTCGAGCTCTTGCGCCAGCTGGAGGCTGAGAAACGCTGCTGTACGTCCTTGGGTGGCTGCTTGGTGATCATGGCGCGGATCTCACGCATCTTGCGCCACATGGGAGCCATGGACGGCTTCTCCACGGCCGGAAAGACCCGCATTTCGGTACGGCGGAGCGCTACGAGGTATGGCGTCCGTGGTGCTGTGTGAAGTGATAATTGTGTAAGATTTTTGTGACTGTGGGATGTATGCAATGTTCGGAGCACGTTCTGAATGCGTAGAACTTAACTTTTGTATGGAAGCTTATCGATAGTCTGTTTCTGTAAAGGTGTCTCTTACCGAAAGACTCCATAGAGTGTAGCCATCTCATGATATTTGCGTCTTACCGTCACCTGCGCTATGTTTCTTGTCTCTACATGAAGCAGCAAGGCTTCTCGTCGTCCTATTAAGCTAAGAGTCTTAACCCAAATTTTCTAGCGGCAAATTGTCCGGTTCCATGTGCATCCAGCGCTACGTGGCAAGTGACGATAAGTGTCAACGGCACTGCACCCAGGTGACGGAGCAGGTTATCCTCCACTGGCCAGGATACCAAGTCTACCGTACTAACTGTCTTAACTGAAGGCCAACAGCGACAGCACTGGCCCAAGTTGCGACTTTCAGCACGCGAACCGGCTTCTACAGTATCACGACGTTAGAGTGGGATGAGCCGGGCCGATCTGACCGCTTCAACAACTCTACTTGACGTCGTTGCTAAAAACTTTAAATGTATTTTCAATAGGCAGGAGCCATTTCCCTCGAGCTAACCCCTCATTATGTGGTTTTGATGAATTTTTCACTGCATCATCGCCATATCCTGGTAGGTATTGGCGATCGTTCTCAGTTGATAGTGCAATGCGACGGCTGTTGGTCGATCGGACGCGTTGAAAGACACGCATTTGAGGATCACGTCGCGGATCTCGGGTGGACAATCGTCTTCGATCGTGGGCTTGATGGCGTTCGTACTCACTAGCAGAGCGATCTTCGCATCAGTAAGAGCATCGACCTCGGATTTGTGGCTGTTGTACGGGTGACCGCAGGTATCCATCTCACTCAGAGTAATACCGAGCGAGAAGATATCCGCGCTTTCTGAGTACCGTTCGCCCTGCAAAACCTCTGGTGCAATCCAAGCTATGGTGCCCATACCGCCAGTCATAGTCGACTCAGAAGCTTCTCGTGAGATACCGAAGTCACTGAGCTTGGCTTCCCACTCGTGATTCAGTAACACGTTGCGTGACTTGATGTCGCGGTGGATGATCGTCGGGTCGAACGAGTGCAAGTACACGAGTCCCTCCGCCATATCCAAGGCAATTTCGATCTTGCTGCGTGGTTGAGAGTCCTCACCGACCCACGAGAAGGTCCGACGACCATCTTTTTCAAGCCGTTTCTGCCTGATTAGTGTAGTTAAGTCACCTCGAGGCATGTACTCGACGACTAAAGACAGATCCAGGAGGTTCGTCCATGCTAAGCCGATAAAGTGTACGATCTTCGGGTGGTCCATGCGTGCGTACAGACGGATTTCATCCATAAATCGACGTAAAAGATCTTTAGACATGGCCTTGGGTAGAATCTGCTTAACCACCACACGTTGGCCGTAGAGATGCGCGAGATGAACGACGCCAAAGCCTCCACTTGCGAGCTCTTCCTGGATCACAATGTCCTCGATTGGCAGGCGGTAAGGGATCAAATCTTCGTCGTTCCTCACGTCGTTGCTGAGGTAGCCATCGGATGATGGAGGGAGCGATAGTGTTTGTGATGCAGAGCCTGCCGTAAGACCACCAGATGGGTTTTTACTTGTCGGTAGAGCCATAAAGCCATCAGCGTTCGAGTTACGTCGCTTGTTCTGACGTCGACGATACACGATGAAGCCGACGATGATGAGAAGAACAGCGACAACACCTGCAACGATACCACCGATTAAACCTGCACTGGAGCTTGAGCTGCTTTCGTTGATGACCACAGTATTAGTTCCCGATCCACCTGACGCTTGGTTTGTGTTGTTACTACTGGTAGTGCTGTCTCCATTAGTGCTGGAGCTGCTGGTTGTCGTGGAATTACTGGAACTGGTTCCAGAAGAACCAGAATCATTGCTAATTGGATACAAGCTGGAGAATGATGTATCTAGCAACATAACAGAAAACGTTTAATAACGATAGGCATCAAACAGCTACTATAACAAGTCTTACCATCGAGAACGCAGGCAGAGACACTGCTTGAAATCGTTGTGACCGTGCCTGATACGCTTGAGCAGTCATCCTCGTCCAAACTGACAGTGAGACTCAGTTGTGCAGTCTTCAGTACGTCGACGTCGGATTCTCGCACGACAAAGTTTGTAACAGTAGTTCCTCCCAACGTCCTAAAGTGATGCAAGTGATGTCAGTTATGTTAACATACTGGTGCATTGCGACGAGCGTACATTGTCTTGAGTTTCGATGGGAATGTTACACCCACGATCTCTGTGATTCGGCAGTCGCTGCATTCTCTGTTAGTCACATACAAACATTAGTTAATAACCTCCCTAGTTAATACAGAAGTGAAAAAAAAAA